TGTATAAAACAGATTACATCGCCAACAATACAATGTTTTTTTGCAACCACATAACCAAGAGTTTCCATATACCAACTTAATTTAAAATATCAAACTACGTTTTTTTATTCCTTTTTAAAATTATCTAAAATAGGTGTTGTTCTTCCATCTTTAATGATCTCCTTTTTTTTCTTAAAAGTTATACAAGGAGAATGACTTTTCAAGTAGTTGATCGATTACGCAGCGACACTCATCCATGTTTAATTGCACGCACACTACAGCCGGTAACCAAAACGGCTACGAACGAGTGAGAAGTGAGTAACCAAATCAAAAAATGGTAACAAGCCCACATAAGCTCCGAAGGTCCCCGACAGACTACCAAGTGTATCCATAAATGAAAATGGTAACAACCGCCAACCAAGTCATGTTCGCAAAACCTAGACACTATAGGGCGCATTATTTTCGTGGGTCTAATTTGCTATTTACTGAATTACTATTACCATATCGCTGTTGATAAACAAATAAATGAAATTATTTCACAGTACTTAGTCATAAAATATTTATTTTTAAGATTTTTAACTGTTACCAATGGTAACAATGGTTACATGGACGCTTCGCCACTGTTGTCAATGAATTTAGGAAATGTGGCCTTTACCCTTTGAATCCGGAAAACGTAGATTATTCCAAATGCGTCCAAAATTTCATTGAACAACAAAATGCCTGTAATGGTGAAGAAACTGGTATAATATCAAATAAGGAGCTCAGAGCTGCAGAAAAAGTTGTTTTTAGTATGAGAGAGAGACTAACGCTTAAAACAATTCACGCAGTCATAGTTTTAAATGCAATAAAATGTTATGAAAATCAGAACAATCAGAGGCTAGACGTGGGCAGCATAATTCCATTAGACAATGCAGTCAGTATACCTTATGAAAACATCTATGTCCTTCAGGAAGATGCAGATAATGAGAATATTTATCTACAAGATAAATCAATAGCACTAAAAATTTCGAACTGTTCATCACCAATCTCACAAGAAGAAGCTGCGGTTGAGAAGAATATTTATCCAGACGATAAATCAGTCGAGCCGAAAATTTCCAAAAGTTCTTCACGAACCTTTGAATCGTCCCAGAAAAACCAGCAAATTATTATACATTCGCATTTTTAAACCTGACGATTTTTCTCAGTTGGCGTCAACAAGCAGCAACCAAATTAAAATAGCATTGGAAGCATCGTCAGAAGCTAATAAATTACCATCACCTAGACTGATTGAGCAAAAGACTCCACAACAAAATGAAGAAACGTCTTTTCAGCGACATCTGAAGTACCCAGAAGTGATAAAAAAAGGAAACAAAAGAAAGAAAAATATCTAAGTCCCATATCTTTACCTGCGTGGAGGTCGCATTACAATAAAAAAGCTAATGTAAAAAAAGAAAGCTCGAGGAGGCTAAATCAAGAAGGGAAGAAAAATTAAAAGCTAAAGAAGAACAAAAAAATAAAATAAAAAAGAGTGGACGGCAAAATAAAAAAATACAGCGTGGAACTAGTGAAGAAATAAGCGAAGATGTACAGGCAAGTAAAAGTGAGCCAATTACGTGTTCCAGTTGCAATGAAGACCTGATCAGTGATATCGAGGATGATGATGATGAGAAAAACATTGGATGTGATGATTGTCCTAGATGGTACCATATGAAATGCACAGAATTCTATGGAATGTCATATGAAGAAGCACCTACCAAATATTATGTTTGTTTAATTTGTTCCTAATTAATATCTTTATTTTAGTTTGAGTTTTTGTTTGTTTAAAAGCTTTTCAATGAGGTTTGTTCTATTTCTTATTTATTCTATGAAATAAATTTTATTTTTTACTATGTTTTACATTTTTTCTAACTTTATATCGATAAACTATCTACCTAATCATAAGTAAACTCTTGTCAGAAACGGGTCGGTTTCTCGAAAAGTGTGGTCGAAAAGCGATCCGTTTCTCGATCATAGTGTTCGAAAATCGGTACGCATATGGTCGAGGTGAAGAAGTAGGTGGTCGAAAACCGGTGAAAATTCATGTATTATTTAATTTCATTACGTAAAATTCTCTGGTGGTCTATTTAAAATAATTCGTTTAGTTCATACTTAGACAGAGTTTAAAGCTTTCTCATGATGACAAACTGATTCAAGGCAAATTATTTTTACGGAATTGTATGGTCTTTGAAGTTGAAGCTTAGGTTAGATGGTCGAAAACCAGCACAGTGACCCTACCAATTACCAGCAAGTACAGAATTTCAAATATTCTAGTTTTTACCAATAATATCTATAACATCTTTCCGATTACTGGTAGTGTCCGAGTTAGTGGCACATTCACCCTATCGGTACGTCCAAAAGCAACAAAGGGATTTCTAAGAATAATTCATCTAATAGTTACTGAAAATTCAGTGTGAATATTGGGCATTGCTTATTGGAAATTTAAAAAAAATTGCTTTTGTCATACGTTGTACATATAGAAATCCGAAATCCCACTTCAACGTTAAAGGTACGATTCACATCTGCAATGCAGACCCCCGGCCATCAGCATGGCATGCTTTCGTTAAAATCCCAAAAGGATAAGGCTCAAACAAGTTTCTTAACAACCTAACGAGAGAGACAACTAGCAAAAAGAGACAGAACGGCATCCGCAATCCCCTGGAGTGGTTTGTTCAATTTCAAGCCCGGACACCATACCATCGTGCGCAGTTACCGGCGCCCGACCGTTTTACATCGATCGCGCTCTCAGAGAAACGGTTGGATAAAACGGTTCTGTCCCCTACTTGCTCTCAATCGAGTCCCCGCTCGCTTTGTGATAGCTTTCTCGGCAGAACGAGCGAATGACTCATCGCTTTTATGCTGTGGGGAGCTATTTTTATCGAACACAAACTCTCTCAGAGTTATAACACGATATAGCCTGCACGGAAAGTAGTATAGAGCGATACGGTGCCGAGTTTGACCTTTGTGTGGCACGCGGAAGGTAGTTTAGATAGTGTTTCGACTGTGTTATGCGGATTTTTTCTAACAAAGGAATCGGCTAGCTGAGGAACTCGACTCACTTTCTCGCTTATTATTATTCTATGCACAGCTGTAGCGAGTATTTAGTTAATTGAGGGAAATTCGTGCATAATTTATCACTCGGGGTTTACGACAATGGAACCTCTAGGTTATTGCTTGACTACTTTTATTCTCCGCAGTTAATGGTTGGTTAACTAGGTAGGCATATGGAGACGGGTGACTATGAGATATTCTTTTGAAGTAATAGTCAACAAGAAGGATTTAAAGCTTTGTAAATATTGCTTTGAACGGACTTGACTTACCGGCGTTTTATAAATATTTGATGATATAGTTTCTTAGAAGCGAAGCTCAAATGTTTCAAACGCAGAGCGATCTCCATATAAATACTCAACACTCACAACTTAAAGCGGACACAAATGCTCATTTCTTCCAGCAAAATGATTAATTCATGTTCAGAACATACACTGAAAACCAAATTTGTCTGACGGCTTCGCATGTCTAAAAATTCCTTCAAAAATGAAAAAAGGCATAGTTCTGGCGCAGCACCGACCTTCGCGTTAACCTGAGGTCGAGCTCAACTGAAGATGAATTTTTTGCATTGGACAGCTCTGTAACTAAAATAAACACTAGAAAGAAAGTTGATATTCACCCCATAAATCGTGAGAGGGTAAATTATGGTGAATATCATTTGTTCAATATTACCCCGACCGCTTTTTTCAGTACACCAGAATGAACCATGAAACATCCACTTATATTCTGGAAAAAGTTGAACACCTTCTAACTAAAAACTGGTGTAACCTCCACAGTCAGCCCATTTTACCAGAAGAAAGACTGGTCATTACTTTGAGGTGAATACCTCTGGATAAAATCCTTCTTAGAAAACAGATTGCAACATGTGACAATAACTCATAACTGCTCAGGACAACTAATGCAAGTCAAGTCTAGTGGGATAAATATGGATGTTGGCGTTCCACAAGGATCTGTGTTGGGGCCTGTTCTGTGGAGAACCAGATGCATCTAAACTGTGAAAAAACAACAGCAACAATATTCCACAATGCCCAAAAATCAATACCTCCCCTGCAGCTTACATTGGATAATTCAACCCTGCGCATCAGTAAAAGCACAACATTCTTGGGACTGCACCTGGATGAGTGCCTCAATTTTAAAGGACTTTGTGACTACCTGTCTCGCAGGCCTACCTATTTAAAAATCTAAGAACAGTTTTTACACGCGACCAGTCATTGATGTTATATCACAGTCATATCGAGTCAGGAATGCAGTATGCATTGTGTTTCTGGGTTCCTCGGTGAATGCTTCAAAGGTATTTCGAAGTCAAAAGAGAATAATAAGGTGCATAGCGGGTGTTGGCAGTATATACAGTTGCAGAGACTTGTTCCCGAAATAAAAAATTCTAACACTACCCTCGTTGTTTCTTTATGAAATGGCAATATATACGTATATTAACAGAGATGATTTTCCTCTATTTTAGGACCAAAGATATTCACTATGCTGCCAGAGTGTATTAAGACAATTAGCTCCTTAACTAATTTTAAAGCTGAGTTGCGAACCTACTTTATTACTAAGACTTGTTACGCCTTCAGTGACTTGGTATTGTTTGTTATCCACTTATTGTTTGTCCTTTTATATATTTTTATATTGTATTTCTGTTGATTTATTAATTTTAACTGCTGGAAAGCTAATCTATTTTATCTGCTGATGATTGCCTATGGTGTCCATTTTAAAATATCTAATTTAAGCTATTGTTTGTTGTTGCTTGTCATTTTACTGTTTGTTTTTTTGAGGAATATACATACTGTAAATTGTTTGTTGACGAACCCTATACATGTTTTATACATGTGTAATGGGTAATAAATATTATTATTGTTTATATATTTTTTAAGCAGGTTACGCACAAACAAATCATTTACTGCTAACAAAATACCTAGGAAGTATTTTGGTTTTGTTCTAACAAAAATAAAACTCAAAATGGTGAATTAAATTTTTATTTCATAAAGGAAAAGGATAGCTCTATGTGACATTCGGCAGTACCAGAAAAACTTTCAGGTTGTTCGATGGATAGAAGATGGAACAGATTCAAACGTATTTAGCGGGTATGAAAATTGTTGAACTAGCTCTTGAACCTGGCATCGAAACGCTAATACCCGTGACTGAGGAATCTTTTTCACATGGGGCAGCAGGCTTTTGAAAAACAAGAGGTGTTCATCTTCATTCTCACTTGTTCGCTTAGATTTTGTCTCTAAGTATGCTACTTTTCGTTTCACAATATCTAATAATGATTCATTAAATGTTTCTGTTGGGCCTCGTTTCCTCTTAGATGAGGATCGTGGTACTGAAGCATTTTCTTTTCCTACACTTTCCGCAGTACTTGAACTTGCATCAGCAATATCTCGTCGAGGACGTGCTTCATCTTCAGTGGAATAGAAGGTGGTCTCATCTAATCCTGGAAGTGACTGAATCGACTCTTCTGCTTCAGCTAGACTTTCTGCAAAGGTTTCAGTACAACCAGTGTCTTGTGGCAAATTTCCTTTCAGCTTTCTAGGCATAACCGTGTCTTTTAAAAATAAAAGCGATTTGAAGTATTGCCACTTGGATATTGGAGTATCGTTTGCCCCATCACCTGAACGTGCAGGAGGAAATTTTCCTAATTCGACGGAAAACTGATCTCTAATATATTTCCATTTTTTCCTCAGTTTATTTTCTGAAACGAAATTACATAGAATAAATACTACGGTTGGCAAATACGTTTCTCATAAAATGTGTTTTTTACAGGTATCTTGCTACAGGCTCATCTTTCGGAATACTGTTATTTTCATTCAGGGTTAGTGCTTCTGTTGGAACAGAAACAATTGCAGCATTGTGGGAAGTGCTACAACCGATCCCGATGCATGTGCCCACGAAAGAAGATTTCCAAAAGATATCTGAAGACTTTAACAATATTTAGAATTTTCCACATTGCATCGGCAGTATTGACGGAAAACATATACGCATTCTTTGACCTAGAAATTTAGGCCATTTTTTTCAACCATAAAAATATTTGTCTGAAGTTTTACAAGGAGTACCTGATACAAATTATAAATTTATAGTTATAGATGTCGGTGGATACGGCAAACAAAGCGATGGTGGTACATTTCAATCTTCGGAACTGTATAAGTTATTATCCAATAAACAACTAAATATTCCAGAACCAGCGTATCTACCTCAAACTACCACAAAAATACCATTTGTTCTAATAGGTGAAGAAGCATATCCCTTACTTCCTTATCTTTTGAAACCATTTGGTGAACAAGATTTAAATTTTGAGAAATGATGCTGCAATAAACGTGTGTTTCGTGTCAGGAAAACTATTGAATGTACCTTTAGTATCGTCAGTGCTAAATGGAGACTACTACTTTTAAAATGCAAAGAAACTGGCCTTGAGACTGCAGACAATATAATCACATGTATATGTGTTCTTCACAGCACTATAATAGACAGAGAAGGATTTGAACGACACTTCGACACTTAAGGGATGTAAGTATAAAATTTTCTAATCACAATAGATGGCAATTAACAGGACGGTCACTAAATGAAGCCAAAACGATTAGAGATATATTTGTAACATATTTTTCCAACATCAGGCTGTCATATGATAGATAATATTAGATATTGTTTAGAGAAATAAATATAATATTTTAATAAAGTCTACTTATTTTGATACTTACCATCCTCTCTCATTTCTCCTGCTATTTCTTTCCAACACTTGTCCACTACATTTCTGTTACTGTGTTGTTTATCTTTTTTATCCCATATGGGGCATTGTTTGTATACTAATGCGATTAACTTGTCTATATCCATTATCGATATCAACGTGCTCTGACAACCAGCGAGAAAGAACTAAATAATCATTCCGGCAAAACCGGTAACGCCGACTATCTGCGCCGACAAGCCAAGGCCTGCGTCTATTGTGTTATAGCCAACTCAAGAGCATGATATTATTATAGAAGCTTATAGGCGTCGATCGGTGCTGGTTGCCGGTAATCAGGAAACCGACTGCCACTGTATTTTCGCCCTTAGATATCTCCAGCATAATACTAATTTCAATTTCAAAGAACTCGACGGTGCCCTTGATTGGGTTACCAAGGGTAGTTTTTCTAATGGCACCCCTGAGTTCTGCTTTTGAAATAGTACTGGGTATTATGCTAGAGGTATGTGAAGTGAGTGCTGTACCAGAGCTCTGCGATTTAACACTTTTGTCAGAATTTTTGGTATTTCGGAAATATTTCTCCACATTTTCCACAACCAAGTTCTGCATTTGAAATTGTACAGAACATTATCTTAAAGGTATCTGAAGGGGATGCTGCGCTACAACTGTGTTTTTTCAATTTTGTGGGAATGTTTAAAGTTTCCAAGGTATTTCTCGTAATTTGTCCCAACCAAGGGTAGTTTTTTCTAATAGCATGCCCGAGTTCTGGTTTTGAAATTGTACTTAGTATTATGCTGGAGATATTTAAGGAGAGTGCTGCGCTAGAGCTCTGGATTTTTTCACCTTTGTGAGAATTTTTAGACATTCGAGGGTAATTGTACTGAGTATTATGCTAGAAGCATCTAAAAGGGGTGCTGTGCTGAAGCTCTGCGATTTAACACTTTTGTGGGAATTTTTGGTATTTCGGAGATATTTCTTCACATTTCCCCCAACCAAGGGTAGTTTTTTTCGAATGACATCCCCTAGTTAAGCATTTGAAATTATACAGAACATTATGCTAAAGGTATCTGAGGGGGTGCTGCGCTAGAACTCTGCGTTTGTTCAATATTATGTGAATTTCTGTGGTTTCCAAGGTATTTATCGTCATTTTTCCCAACCAAGGGTACTTTTTCCAAATGCACCCCCGAATTCTGCCTTTGAAATTGTACTGAGTATTATGCTAGGGATATCTAAAGGGGGTGCTGCGCTAGTACTCTGCGTTTTTTCACTTTTGTGGGAATTTTTACACATTCGAAGGTATTTCTCGACATTTTCCAAATCAAGGGTAGTTTTTTTCCAATGGCACCCCCGAGTTCTACTTTTGAAATTGTACAGAAAACTATGCTAAATATATTTGAGGGGTGCTACTTTTATGGGAATTTTTGAAGTTACCAATGTATTTCTCGTCGTTTTTCCCAACCAAGGATAGTTTTCTAATGGCACTCCTGAGTTCTACTTTTGAAATTGTACTGGGTATTATGCTAGAGGTATCTAAGGATCGTATCGTCAGTCGTTCCTACAATTGTAGATTGTAGGACGCCTTTATGGCCTAATTGATTTTCATAGTTTTCTACTCTTCCGTGTCAGCGCTATATTTTACGTTACAAATATCTATTTGCAGACACGGAACTGTAGAAATCCAGAAATATACCAGCCATCCTGAAGGAGAGGAAAGACTATGAAAATCAAGGATCCCATAAAGACGTCCTACAATATTGTAGGAACGACTGACGATACGGCCTTAAAGGGGTGCTCTGCTAGAGCTCTGCAATTTAACACTTTTGTGGGAATTTTTGGTATTTCCGAGGTATTTCGCCACATTTTCCCCAATAAATGGTAGTTTTTTTCACAGAATCTCCAATTTCAATGTTTGAAAATTATTGAACATCATTGGTTGCGTGAATGTGTGAAGCTGACTGTGCTGTAGTGCCGTGTATGTGTCGAATTTTCTGGCGACAAATGTGACATGCTAGTCTCGAGGATGGTAGACGCTAATTTTTGTTTTTAATTTTAGAAATTTTGCAGAACCGTTGCTAAAATCTATTGAGAATTGAGAACTGTAGAACTATTCACTACCTTGAGAATACACCGTATCAGAACTCACGTTTTACTTAAAAGGGGTGCGCCGTGAAGTTAGCACCCCCGTTATTTGTTACACCGCAGCGCTGTCGCAAAATGTAACAATAACTCAGGATGTATTGATTTTATCACCATCAGTGGAAATCAAAGTTAATTCTAAAAGAAATGAAATGTAAACCACAAAAGAATGATGCAAACCAAACAGGCATAAACACAAATAAGAAAACAAGACATCGAAAATGTTTACCCGACGCTTGAGTTTCAACTGTTGATGCTTAAACTTGTCTGTACCACATAACCTACCTAGGTACCTGATTTTATTTAGAACATACCTTTTAGGTAACAAATTAGTTTTGAACAAAACACCAAACAAGCTGGAACAACGAGCATCAATAGAATTAACCGCAACATGAACTGCTGGACCGAATATTTTGAAATGCGGATGTGTACGAGGGATGTCTTTTAAGTTTTTCATTTAGAAACATAGTAGGCCGCGCGGATCGAACGTCAGTACTGAATCTTAACCTCACTCTTTGGTAAACTTAAATTCAACGTTTTACAACAATACGTGCAGTGTTCTCACTACAGTGAATTTTTAAGTGTCACCAAGTCATTAGAAAAATGGAACTCAACCGAGAACATTTTCGCGCCATAATTTATTACAACTTTCAGAGACAATTATCGCAACAAGAATGCCTTTGCTGAGTTACTGTCTGTTTTCGGCAACGAAGCGCCACATCAGTCGACAATTTCCCGTTGGTATTTAGAATTAAAACGTGGACGGGTGAGTCTTAGCGACGATCCCAGGGTGGGTGCACCAAAAACGGCAGTCACCCAGGAAAACGTCGATGCTGTGCGCAAACTCAACATTGAAGATAGACATGTGACATATCGCGAGATTGAGGCGTCCTTGAAGATCTCAAAGACCTCAATTCAAAAAATCTTACATGAAGAATTAGGAGTAAGAAAATTAGTTTCTCGTTGGATACCCCACCTGTTGACTGAAGAGCAGAAATCAGCCAGGGTTAATTGGTGTCAAAAAACGCTTGACCGTTTCAATTCCGGAAACTCAAAAAATATGTACAGCATTGTTAGAGGTGATGAATCGCGGATTTACTGTTATGAACCAGAAAATAAACGACAGTCGGCTGTTTGGGTGTTCCAAGCTAAAGAAAAGCCAACAAAAGTCATCCGTTCTCGAAGTGTTTCGAAAAAGATGGTTGCGACATTTCTGTCAATAGCGGGTCATATTGCAACAATTCCTCTTAATGAACAAAGAACTGTTACTGCGAATTGGTATACCACCATTTGTTTGCCAAAATTCATCACCGAGCTTCGAAAAATTAACCCCGAAAGAAGAATCATCTTCCACCAAGACAATGCAACCTCGCACATAGCCTAAAAAACAAGGCAGTATTTAACAGAAGGAAACGTGGAATTATTAGATCATCCTCCATATAGTCCCGATCTAAGTTCTAACGATTTATTTACTTTCCCGAAAATTAAAAGCAGACTGCGTGGTCAAAGGTTCCAGTCACCAGAATAAGCAGTTGACGCATTCAAAAATGCCGTTTTGGATCTGCCAGCAAACGAGTGGAATAAGTGCTTCGAAAATTGATTCGAGCGCATGCAGATGTGTATTAATCTTCGTGGAGAATACTTCGAAAAACAATAAAGTCATTTAAAACTACCTACCGTGTTTTTTTATTTCCATATGCAAAACTTAAAAGACATCCCTCGTATTCAGCTCTGAACGTGTTAGACGCCTGTGCTGGAACAAAGCTACAATATTGTCAAGTCACGTGAACTCACAAGCTATCATGCATGCTCACACGCTATAATTGGAACTCGCAATCATGGATGCCTGCGAGAATTTTGATCAGTGCAAGCCGATCATCGGCAAGAGATCACATTTTGTGAAAGTGTACCTACCCCAAATATTTTCGAAGAGCGGGGAAGGGGGGGGGGGGGGGGTTAGCAAATTTTCTAAAAAACCCTCAAAATTGTACACAGTCATGCTAAATATGGACATTTTAAGGTAACCAACCGGGTTCATATGGATTTAGAAATACAATAATTACTACCTCAGGCTCTCAAGCACCAATTTTGCTCCTTAGCTGTTTGCGTGATAGTTCGTTAGCTCACGCGAACTCTCAATAATTACTGTTTCTTTCGTTTTCATTATACTGATCAAATTTATCGAATCAATTCTACGTTACTATGTCGTAGGTACCAAATCGCTTTCGCTGCAGAATTCAGAAAGTGATATAATTGTAATTTCGATGATTATCACCTCTGTCAATCACGTCAAGGGATTAACTGGATTTCATGTCGGCCGAATTGTGCACGCAGTCGAGCACCTGCGCTCCTATATGCAACACTTGTTCCAGGTTATGTTTGGTTTTGATGCACAGATTTGCTTCCCCCTTTGCCCTTCAAGCACCAGCCTTTTACCTGGAGCTTCAAACCCATGAACAGTTTTAAAACTGTCAATTTGTTATAAATACCTGTTCGTTTGATTGCTTACCTTTTTCATGTACTTTGTTATTTAGGTAATACTGATTACTGAAAGGCACTAAGGAATACAAAAATACTTTTGCCTATAAAATCTAATAAATTGAAAATAAAATTTTGTTAAGACAAATCAAGCCCTCAAACAAAAAAATATGAATCAAAACCAAGGAAGATACAGGGTGCGCCAAAGAAACCTAAAGTTTTTATAATGATTCGTATAAAGCCGTTATATTACGTAGAACAGCGGTTACAGTTGGAAAGAGATCGGTAGTAGAAGTAGATGCCACAGTGTCACCAGACCTAGGAAAATTTCCTTATATCTAGAGAATTACGAGCAAGCTTAGGGAAACAGGGAAATTTATTTAAATTTGTACAAAATCTAGGGTATTCTAAACTCTGTAAGTCACGTGAACTCACAAGCTATCATGCATGCTCACACGCTATAATTGGAACTCGCAATCATGGATGCCTGCGAGAATTTTGATCAGTGCAAGCCGATCATCGGCAAGAGATCACATTTTGTGAAAGTGTACCTACCCC